CCTGTCCATGGCTAGTTCTTTGATGATATTCCAGTCCTTCAGATCTCTCTTTACGGACTCCTTATTTTCTTTGTTCTGCGGGGAAGATTCTTTCCAACATGGCATTATTTTGTTAATAGTTAGGGTTCAATATGTCTTGTAGCTTTCTTCGCTTTTGACTGAACTGTTCATACTATGTGTAGGTGCTGTAACTGAAAGGCTCCATGAGGTTTCACAAGACGAGAATTCCCCTATGATCTTACTCTTTCCTGGTTAGTGTACACTCATTTTTATGTATAGTGGTTGCTCATTTATATGTGATTACTCATTATTGTTTATCAACATATTAGTCGGACGCTGATTTTTCAAACATGAATCCACGAGGGCCCATTATGAATAGTAAAATAGGAAAAATACTAGAAAAAATAATTAATTCTGTTTTGTTTTGTAACATACATGGTCGAATTCCACTCAAGTGTGAAGTTTCGCGAAGAAATGACATCCGTGGTATTTTAGAATCATGTTCACCTTTGTATTTTTGAATCCTTTATTATGTAATCATCCTATGTCTCGTCTTAACTTAGAACTATTTGAGTATATTATGATGAAAATATGCTTGATTATGTTAGCAACCTAACAGTGGGTCACCCGAGCTATTACCTCTCTCACGGATTCAATGGCGATTTAGGTACAAATCTGAGGATACATGAATTGGGGGGAAAAGAAGGAAGAAGAACAGCAGCCGCCGCCGCCGGTTTGTTGGTCCACTGGATGAGAAGAGCGTTACCTTCTCCCTAGTACTTGTAGTCTGTAGTGCTTGATGGTCTCCCGATGGGCCAGGCCCATGTATCGGTCCTGGGGCAAGCCCACGTATCAGTCAGGGTAGGGCTCCTGACATCCCTCCCTTCTTGAATTCGGCTTGACCCCAAGCCGACACCACCCAGAACCGCCCGGATCCCATTGCAATTGATGATGCTTGATTTGGTTGTAGTCACGACCGGAGCCAGAGTGGACTTCAACGAAGTAGTAACAGTGGTTGTGGCCGATGGGAGCCCCACCGAAGAAAGCGTTGAGGAAGTAGTCATTTTCAGCACAGTCGTGGTCGAAGCCGAGAAAGTAGTACTCATGGTCGACAGAGCCTTGCGCGAAGACAGCGGCGATGGTGATGACACCCCTCCCTTCTTGAAGATGGTCCTGATTGTAGCATGTAGAGGGTGCCATACAGCTCATGTCCTGTGCTCTCTTGCTGACTACCAACACCATTGGAATCTTTGGCGATGGAAGACCAGAAGCTAGCATGGTGGGATCCAGCGACTTGTATTTCGTCGGCAGGGTAGTCGACCCAAACAACAACCGGAGCCTTGGTAAGATCAAAGGAGCAATCACAGAATAAAGAGTACCATCTTGGATCTCCCTCACTTACAGCATGTATGTGCTCATGTCTGCATGCCTTGGTAAGATCAAAGGAGCAATCACAGCATCTTGGATCTCCCTCACTTGCAGCATGTATGTGCTCATGTCTGCATGCGTCTGCATCAAGTTCAGGAAATGACAAATGTTGCCTCCCCAACCAAAAACCAATGGATGTATGAAGAAACCCAGGAGCAGCCGAACTAGTACACCCCAGTACTCGCAGTTTATACACGTTTAGAGCTGTGAGAAGGGCCATATTGACATTGCAGCGAGACTGCCAACTCCTCTGACCAAGTATATTCTCATTAGTTCCAGCAGCAGAAGGCCATAACTTCACACATTCATCAAAGTAATGCTGATGACTGGAGTTCCCAGAGGCATTGACTGCACTTGTATTCCTAAATGCTGCCATTTTTCCAACAAGGAACTCTGTATATGGAAATAAAGGCCAGTCAAACAGCAACATCAGCAGTGTCCTACTAGTGCTCATGTATACATGATTCACTCCGAATTCAGCATCTTCCCGTGAGTGCCCTATGCAGCAAGGATAAAATTGTATGCCATTGTAGTTCACTAGCTCCCTGTGAATTGCTTCTGGTCCAAAACAGGTAAGATAACTTGGTGTAGAAAGTGTTCCGAGACTCGATGTTTCCTGCACCACCATTTGGCTGCAACATTTTTGACTTAAGTGTTTAAATTCAGATGTTGCCTGATCCAGTAGACACCAAGACTGCCACTGTGTACCATATTGTTCAGAACTGCATTCTAGAGCAAAACAACCACTGCTTTGAAATTTTTCTTGGCTAAAAAATTGCCACTGCATGGATATGTTCATGGTCTGCATTGTGCCCTTCAATTTGTCAGGCCTAGGAAATTTACATGCAGTAGTATGCTCGAAATAGGTAAGCGGCCATTGTTCAAAGATGGTAGCTAGAGCAGAAAGTAATGACTCAAACTGTGTTAACTGAAGGCCAATACTGATCGAGAGATCCGTGTTCCAAGCACCCCAGTTCTTCACACTCCTAAACAAATGCACAGCCATGGTACCCCGAGCGAATTTACGCGGTTCAGGAGCCAGACAAGAATGATGCTCTATGAAGTATCCACTGAGATTGTACCACCGTTGCCATGTATTGTACACAAAATCTCCAATATGAAATAGTTTCTTCGGAGTAGGATTGCTAGTCAAGCCAATGCCACACACTTGGACAGACAAAACGGATGTGCCCTGAACGACCATGTACGAAGGTCATGAACAGAAGTAGTCACCGAGAAGTTCCAATGGGCAACAGTAGAACGACATACCTCTGCTGGCACACCGATTGCAAATGACGGCCACGGAATGGGTCGAGTTTCCATTTCATCTGCAATAAGAGCTTTCCAAAATGATGGCCACGGCATGGGCCGCAGCAGCAGCCCCCTGGTGCCTTGTGTGCGGCGAGCCGTCCAAATCATGGTTCAGGAATGGCTGCTTTGAATCGACAGCTGAGAATATCAGAGGAGATGGAGTGGTAAGGAGCTCGTCCTCCATGGCCAGGAGCGCCCACAGGTTAGAATCACCATTGCTAGCAGCGTGCATGAAGTCGGTGACGAGCACAGGTGTGGTTGCTGGGAGTAGAGGTGCCGTCATGACTAGCGACGCGAGCGACAATGTGACAGTGACTTGGTTCAGGCACACTGTCGAACAGGTCACAGGCGTCGTGGCGATGCAGTCAAGGGACGCATGGTGGGTAATCTCTAGGATCTCCTGGACCTTGATGGTTGAGGAGAAGAAGCTGGGGAGGACGGCAAGCTTGGTGGAGACTTCTGGAGAAGACGCCACCAATGGAGGTGCGGGAGTGGTGAACTTGCCGCCGATGGTGATGTTGACGGCCTGGGTTGCCGTTGCCACCACCTGGTTCTCCTCCTGGATTTCCACTCCGTTCGTTCGAAGGGTGGCTGTGGTGTTGTTGGTGCTGATCGCAGGATTGGGGTTGAATGCGGTGGTGGTGTCATGGACCTCCTCGGCGATGGTGGGTGGAGCAGCCGTGGTTGCGCGGTCGGTGTGAGACATGACCAGGGCAGAGGTTGAGGTAGCCGAAGCAGTAGCAGGGGAGGCAGCCTGATCGATACTCGAGGTAGCCTCGGCCGGACCGGCCGCACGTGCAGCCGCAAACTCGGACATGATACTATCCAGCTGCGCCAATAGCAGGCCGAGAAACACATCATCTGCTCATCTGCGGTCATGGCATCCCACTCTGGTGGATAGACGAGGGAACGAGGAGCCTGCTCCGGATCGGACATGGTGCTGTCGCCGGTGAAAATTGGGGAATCGGGGGATATGGTGGTGGTGAAAAAATTTGAGGGAATGTTTACTGGCTCTGAGTACCAGATGTTAGCAACCTACCAGTGGTTCACCCGAGCTATTACCTCTCTCACGGATTCAATGGTGATTTAGGTACAAATCTGAGGATACATGAATTGGGGGAAAAGAAGGAAGAGGAAGTAGCTGCAGCCGCCGGTTCGTTGATCCACTGGATGAGCAGAGCGTTGCCTTCTCCCTAGTACTTGTAGTCTGTAGTGCTTGATGGTGTCCCGATGGGCCAGGCCCATGTACCGGTCCCGTGGCAAGCCCACATACCAGTCAGGGGAGGGCTCCTGACAGATTACGAGCTATAAGTTCTTGCCCATTGCTTCATTGTGCTCTTTCAGTTTTCAACCTCAACTTTGTCATGTTTGTAGCTCTAAAAATATGTCTTTCCTTTGTTTATAGTCCTGTTTTTTCTTCTTTCCTTAGAGGGTACTACTACGAATGAGGATGTTTTCAGCCTCAAATTTGTTACGTTTGTAGCTTTAAAAACATGTCTTCTGTTTGTTTATAGTTCTGTTTTTCATCTTTTGTCAGAGGGTACTACTACGAATGGGGATTACCTTCTCCCATTTAAGACAGGAGCCTTTCTTGCAAGGGCACCATTGCAACCTGTAATTTTGAGATATCCTTACAGGAGATTTAGTCCAGCCTGGGACTCCATGGATGGGGTAAGCATCAATTACAGATCAGCATTTAATGGTAGTATATGAACTTGCAAGTAGGCGCGTATGCATGAGCAATGTGTGGGAACCTTCTATGTAGATTTTGTACGGCTTATTAATAATCGCAAAAAGAAAGAGTAGCATTTTGTCCCATGTAGGATCTTGCAGTGATTAGTTTTTCTCAAACTTCTTACACCTTTATTTTCCATGTTCAGCAAAGTATCATCTTCCATGTTGAAACAAGGCTGCTACTTTGTTACTCTAAAATTTCTCTAATTTGATAAATTGATAATCGTATGCTGCAAGATGGATACATCGACATGTCTAGAAAGATACTCTTACTTCATATTGTGCATGACATAGCAATGGTTAGTGTTTTTTTATCTTTGTACGCAAGAGCCCTACAATTATTTATGGTTACTATACTTACCAGAAGTATGTGGCATGTGAACTGGTAAACTCTGTTTCGGGTATATTTTATGTGGTGCGTGCATTTATATCTTCTATACTAACATATAATATAGTCTCTCGTCTTGATTAGTTTAATTTCTGAAACAAAAATGGCATTTTGTCTCATCCCAACTTGCAGGCACGTCATGTGTTTTTGCTCCTCTGTCAATTTGCAAATTACATAGAGGTGGTTCGCTTGCCTGTATACTATCCTTCTGAGCAAGAAAAGCAGGATCCTAGAGTCTATGCCAACAACGTCAGAAAATTGCTTGCGACTGAGGTATTCTTCATATTCCCTTAGCTTTAACATGCTTATATGTTCATTTAATTATCTACCGTGGTGTATGAACCTCGTTCAGGATTGTCACCATAAAACAAACCTTTTCCTGCAGGGTAATTTAGTTCTGTCTAATCTTGGGCTGGCTGAAAAGCGTGTGTATCATGCGGCACTTAATGGTAATAGTCCTCGTGCTCTGCATCAGAAAGATGATTGAAAGCCCTTGCATCACTCTCTGTACACTATCTGTTGAGGTGATTGTAAGAATGTATGCCAACTTTAGCTGATCATGTGATTCATGGTTTCTCTGTTTGAGGAGTATGTTGATTGATGAAAACATTATACCTATTTTGAGATGAATTCCCTCCTTATACTACATTGTATAGAAACCATTAAACATTATAGTTCAATAATAATGTCTGGCATAATTGTTTTGCTTGTTCAATCATTGCGTTTTGGCTTCTTGGTTTCCCTGCTTTTGGCCCTTTCAAGAGCCACCACTTGCTTCCATAACTGAATCATCAATTATATTTTTTTCGGGGGAACTGAATCATCTACTTGGTCTTCCCTGCAGGACTGTTGTGTCAAAGCTAATTTGGATACACATGATGATAGTTTTACCTTTTGTCTTTGTACATCGTGAATTAAATTTCTCAGTGAGGTCAGACACCATGTACATGTGTGCGCCTTTGAAACAAACCTGAGTTAGGTCTTTGGGCCAGAAGAAATAGAGATAGACGGGTAAAAGTTGAAAACTAACCTCTGTTTATTTGATTCGGCATGTGATTTGTTTCATATCCACTAATGCGGCGTCCTAATTGAACTTCTGCCAGTGTGTATCAAATATTAGTCCTAAATGGGAACTTCTGCCACTGTGTATCAGATACTAGGCCTAATCGAACTTCTGCTTAGCTCAGTTGGTTATTCTTTTGATATTATTGTTCTATTTACAATAGAAGTCCCTCGTCAATGGAAAACATTTAGCGAATGTATGTTTGCTTTTTGCACTAGATCCTCAGTTTTGAACAATATCCCAGGAAAGCAGGAACCTAAACCCTCGACTGGATTATAAGTATTGCGAAATTAACCTTAAAGTTTTCGCCATGACAATTTCCCCAGCTATGTTGTGGCGTCTCAAAGATCAACTTTTAGGGTTGGCCTGAGGAACATGCACGACAAGCGACCCCAAAAAACCATGCATTATTGAGGTTTGGATGCAAGCGGGGATCAAGATGGTAGCGGCATTTCCTAAACGGCGCCCGTTGCGCCCGATACAGGCATCGGCGCAAACGGGCGCACATCCCCCGCGCCGCCCTGGGCCGGCCTGTTTCCTTTTTTTTTCCTATTGAAATAGAGCAAAAATTAACGTACGCTAGCGAGGGATCGAAACACTGGATCGCCTGATTGATTGAAAGTCGAGACAGCTAACCACCACGATAACAACGCGCCTATGCCCACAACCTTCTTTCTTTAGTTTTTAATCTTTATCTAGGTCGTTCGCTAGTTAGTTTCTAGGCGTTTTTTTTCTTGTTCCTTTTTCATGTTTCTTTTCTCATTTCCTTTTCTTTTTTTCTTTACTTAAATGTGTGAACTTTTTTTCAATTTCGATGACCTTTTTTCGAATTCAATGAACGTTTATCAAAATCGATGAACTTTTTTTGAAATCAATGAAAAAATTTCAAATCCGTGAACCTTTCCCAAATCTGATGAACTTTTTCCAATTCCGATGAACTTTTTTCAAATCCGATGAACATTTTTTCCCAAATTCCATGAATGTTTTTCCAAATTGATGAACTTTTTCCAAAATCGATGAACCTTTTTCGAAATCAATGAACATTTTTCAAATCCGTGAACCTTTTCCAAATATGATGAACTTTTTCCAATTCCGATGAACTTTTTTCAAATCTGATGAACTTTTTTCAAATCCGATGAACATTTTTTCCCAAATTCCATGAACATTTTTCCAAATCGATGAACTTTTTCCAAAATCAATGAACTTTTTTCAAAACCGATGAACATGTTTTTCAAAATCGATGATTTTTCTAAAAAAATTGTGAACATTTAAAAAAATGGTGAACTAGTTTTCAAAATCGATGAACTTATTTTTCAAAATCAATGAACTTTTCAACTATTTTTTTCTTCAGATTTTACGTTAATGTTTTCACTAAATAAAGGTTAACTAGCACTTTTTCCTAGCTACATAACAACAGAGCGTGTTTAGTTTACTGGTTCTCGCGTCAGGCCCTCCCTTGAGATGTAACACCATGTTCCTGCGTAGGGTGGTTGTATTGCTCCAGTGCACATGGGTGATAGTGCACATGGGCGATGGTGAGCACACGAGTGATTGCCGTAAAAAAAAAGCACACGAGTGATGGCGAAGATCGCTAGAGAGATACTCCCTTCGTTCGAAAATACTTGTCATCAAAATAAATAAAAGGAGATGTATCTAGATATATATATTAGTTCTAGATACATCATTTTTTATCCATTTTGATGACAAGTATTTTTGGACGGAGGAAGTACGTTTCATGGCTTACCAGCTTTTGGCCATGGTGGCAGCCTAGGAGGAAGAATAGGGGTAGGTGAAAACCTAGCTAGATGGCTCTAGAATGTTGTGTCGTGCCCTTGGATCCTGTCCTTAAGCTAGTACTCCCTCCGTTCCATATCTAGTGTCAAAAAACGTCTTACATTATTAGATGGAGGGAGTACACGGCTTGAGTCGGTCTAAGGTAGGCTTGCGTCGTTGAACTAGCTTGAATTAGGTCGTACGCCCCTCCGCAACAGTTGCCACATCTCCTTGGATATTTGGCGATTGGTGACTGTCCTGGCTAGGGGGACTTTCACCACGTCGACTCCCGACCTGGTGGGCCGGGCCAAGGACCCCCATGTTGGTTTCGTCCTGGGACACTTCGGATGGTCGATGATGATTACGAAGAAGATCCAAAAGACTTGACATACACTCCAAGATGTTGGATCCGCTGAGAACTCTGTCTCCTCATGCATAGCCGACTACGATCTTGTAACTCTAGGACCCCTAGGCACCTATATAAACCAAGGGGCCGGGCTCGTAGAAACACATTACACTCGTGGTAGATCACCTGCACTTTGTACACCCCAACACGATAGTACAATCAGAAGCAAGACATAGAGTATTATCTCCATGGAGAGCATGAACCTGGGTAAAACCTTGTGTCCTTGTTACCATCACTCCTAGACGCGTCGTGGTGGTGTCATGGATTATGGGTCACTCACGACGTCATCTCCTGGCCAGGAGGGCCGGGCCAAGGACCCTCATGTCGGTTCACGAGCGTGCCATCTCAGGAAGGCCCATAGTGCGTAGAAGGAACATTCCCAAAGACTTGGCACATACTCCAAGACTTAGAGGTTGTCTACAACATGTTTTACCTTCTACATAGCCGACCTAATTGTAACCCTAGACACCTCGGTACCTGTATAAAGTGAGGGGTAGGGCTTGTACACGATGTACACCGATCTCGTGGTAGATCAACCCTGTACTTTGTAATCCATCCAAATCAGTACAACACAAGCATGACACATGGTTTTATTTCTTCAAAGAGCCTGAACCCGAGTAAACCTCGACCCCTACCTGAGATCTACCAGAATCGACTCCATCATTGGTGGCCCATACAGGTCCCACTATGTAGTTGTTGTGACTCGATGGTGATCAAGATTGGCAATTAGTTTAGTGCTGACATGACCTTTGTGCCAGGCCAAACCTTTGTTTTCGGCAGCGTCGCATTTCTCACCAGTTTGGTTGGCCATCTAGGCAAGGTCAAAGCTTCAAATCCTTGTTGGGCCATTGGATCCGGCAACCTAGAGCTAGACTTTTCAAGCTGGGTGTCAAACCAGATTGAGAAGTCCCGGAACAAACCCGTCTTGACACTGATGTCAGATATGGCTCAAGACGAAGGCTATAACCTCTTGTTGGACCCGGCCATAAACTGGGATTTGACGACCCAACTTGGGAAGCAGGCGATAGATCCGACCCAACTTGTTGGATCCGGCCATAAGAAGAGGAGGAGGAGGAAGACGAAGAGGAAGAGGACTCAACAATCCCATTACTTGTACATGCACCTGTTATTGTAGTAATCTGTGAGCCACGGGGACTCAGGAATCCCATTACCATGGGTATTAAGACTCACTGGTACGCGTCGGTGCTATACAAACGGTTATTAACCCCTTTCCGCGACAGCATTTGGAATCGTCACCAAGTGAGTGTGGGCGATAGAGGGTCCTTCCGACACGACCCAGAAACCGTCGGGGATAGGGAGCATACAGTACTCCTACTCGTTTGTGCTCGCATTGCCATCGCAGTCGGTATTCTGTGGTGCTACATTTACGATGCATGACCCATCACAAACGGTTCACTATTATAGAACGTGTATGATAAGCATACAATCACACACATTCACTTTTCCCAAACCGTATGCGATAACTAATTAAGAAGATTAGTTAATCATCGTATGAGTGTCGGACAGGAGTACGAAACGTCGGACCGTCGTAACATCGTCGTACACGACAACTATTGCACACGCTATTCTGTGGTACAACATTTATGATGCATACTTCATCAGAAATAGTTCATGGTGTGAACGTGTACGATAAGGCAACTAACACAAATGTTTAGTTTGCCTGCACCGTTTATGATAATGTCTGACATCGCACACGCTTTGTAAATGGCAACTGTGTGCATGCTTGAACACGTTTCCTCTCTGTGAACCGTATCAGATTATGGTGTATATCGCAAACGTTTGTGTTTTACCAACCGTGTGTGCCGTAATGACCTGGAGGGCGTAATTTCACCGTAATTTAATTGTTGCTATTTCAAATTTTATCGGATTTGAATTTGAATGTATGTTGTAGCTTTATTCATATCCATCAGGTTCAAACAACCAATGCATTATTCGATTCATAGGTACATATGTTCAAGAATTACATAAGAACCAAATAAAGAATGATGAACCACAGTTGTATACTTGTACTATTAAAGATGGTAAAGAAAGAGGCGAAATACATTCTGGTTGCTGAACAAGGTGAAGCGGAATGCCCATATTGTGCCCTCCTCCATGCAGAAGGCACACACGACTCTAGTCCAACCACTTGTGATGGCCGGCCGCCCATCCTTCACGGTCTTCATTAAAACATCTAGATAATCATCGTGTTATGGTAGAAATACTTTAACCTTTGCATGCCCAC